TTGTCTAGCTGTAAGCATTATACGACAAATCTTTACATCAGTCGTCACAACAACGCTCTGCGCGTGTTTTATTACCATCTGAGGCACGCTTATGGGATCGACAAAGATTCCTGCAGGGTTCCTGCAGAAGTGGAGTCAGTGGTAGAGCGTCCAAATGTTAAGATCTATTGGAATTATGCTCACCTCACGACCAGACAACTCACTGCTACGAAGCCAGACATCACTCAATTTGATGTGGTTGCCAAGGAAATCTTTGTGATCGAATTCTCCAGCCCATCAGAGAGGAATATCTCCCGCAAAGAGGAGGAAAAGAGATCGAAATACCAAGATCTATTGTTGGAGCTTCGAGGTCAACATCCTGGCCACCGTGTGCATCTTGTCGTCCTGAAGGTGGCATGTCTTGGCAGCATGAAGGACACGCTTATTACAGAGCTGGAGAAGATACCAGTCCGCAGATCTAAAGCTTACTCTTTGGCCTGCTGCATGCAGAAGGCCGTCCTTTTGGGCTCCATGCAGCTCCTCTGCATCCGCGGACTGAGTACCTCAGCTGAGTCACCTATCGCCACCTAGTGGGACGTGGCCAGTTCCATCCCGTGTGCCCGTTACCTTTTTATGAAGGGCCACACTAAAGCCCAGCGGGGAGGGTGTGGTCAGGATGAAAGAGGTTAACCGGTACATTCCACATATCACACCATGTGTTGAACAATTATATATACTGTAGCTGTGCTATGGTCATGCTGTGGTCGAGCCTTCGGCTCTCCATTACATTGGATAGCGATTAATTCATTTATTCTCTGCGAAATGGCAAACACTTATTTAAGGTACGTCCCATTGGAATACGTGACATATGGGGACGAAAGTCTTCATTTTTATCAAAATCATTACTTCTATGACTTCCAGAGCCTAACTTGAAATCTTTTCATGTGTCCATTTTGTAAGGGTGGAGAATACATTATGCAGTACTTCCCTCCTATAAACCAAGCTCATGAGGCATATTTCAAAAGTAGGATTTTTCCCGTACTCAGCCATAAAACAGGTACTTCTGAATGAATTTTAAATTTTCTGTTTCTGTTTCGTTGGATTGAAGAATAATTCACGAAAATAAGACTTTAAAAAAAGTTTCCTGATTTTTTTAAACGAATGTTTATCTTTATTCAGAAATATAGAATCAGGGAACTCCATGCCACCCAGTTTCAGCCTTATACGTTTCCCCTTTTGCTGAGCGTCTCCCCAGAGTACAGCTTTTGGGTGGGTTGCTTTTCCAAATATATTTTTTACCGCCAGCAAAAAGGGGAAACGTATAAGGCTGAAACTGGGTGGCATGGAGTTCCCTGATTCTATATTTCTGAATAAAGATAAACATTCGTTTAAAAAAATCAGGAAACTTTTTTTAAAGTCTTATTTTCGTGAATTATTCTTCAATCCAACGAAACAGAAACAGAAAATTTAAAATTCATTCAGAAGTACCTGTTTTATGGCTGAGTACGGGAAAAATCCTACTTTTGAAATATGCCTCATGAGCTTGGTTTATAGGAGGGAAGTACTGCATAATGTATTCTCCACCCTTACAAAATGGACACATGAAAAGATTTCAAGTTAGGCTCTGGAAGTCATAGAAGTAATGATTTTGATAAAAATGAAGACTTTCGTCCCCATATGTCACGTATTCCAATGGGACGTACCTTAAATAAGTGTTTGCCATTTCGCAGAGAATAAATGAATTAATCGCTATCCAATGTAATGGAGAGCCGAAGGCTCGACCACAGCATGACCATAGCACAGCTACAGTATATANTAGGTGATGATCTGCAGCTCGTGGATGGGACGATCATCAAACATCTTGCGCAATTTGAGCCCTACAAGTACCTTGGCCTGCCCGAAAGGGAAAGCCATCGCGTGCTAGACATTAAGAGGGCCATGACCAGCAAGTACAAAGAGCGCCTCTGGAGAGTGTGGTCCTCCCAACTCTCTGGAATCCATAAGATCATGGCTACTAATATGCTGGCAGTACCCGTCCTGTCTTATAGCATCCTTAAGTGGACCAGAACTGAGCTGAAGGACCTTGACATCGCCACCCGCAAGGTCCTCACCGCAAATCGTAACCACCACCCCAAGGCGTCAGTTCAGCGCATATATCTCCCACGTCATTAGGAAGGCCGGGGTTTATTAAGCCTCGAGCATCTGCACAACCGCTTAACCCTGGGAATGGCCTGCAGGGTGATTCAGTCTGAGGACCCACTGCTGAAGCTCGTTTTCCATCATGAGCTCACAGGGAACAAAGCTTTCCTAATGAAAGCTGCAGAGCGAGCGGTACAATCCTTGTCTCTGTCTCTAGACATCACTAGGACAGGGAGCACTTTTCAGGATCGGTCGATCAAAGAACTGTCGCTAGCCTATGTCAGCGCAGCGACAAAAAGGGCCCAGCAAACCCATCTTTTGCAGGTCCATGAGGAGAAGACAATGCTCGGAAGTTTCTTCTAAAATTTATAAGATCTTGGTCTCTCCTCTACTCTCAGCCATGCCTGGTTGAAATCTGTCGGCCTTCGATCAGAGACAGAAGGATTTATCGCAGCTAGTCAGGACAGTGTAATCAGTACTCTCGAGTACTGACGAACCATCTTTGGGGAAGACATAGATTCCACCTGTCGGGCGTGCGGTAGAGCACCAGAGACTCTTTCCCACCTGTTGTCTAGCTGTAAGCATTATGCGACAAACCTTTACATCAGTCGTGACAACAACGCTCTGCGCGTGCTTTATTACCACCTGAGGCACGCTTATGGGATCGACAAAGATCCTACGATCCCATGGGTTCCTGCAGAAGTGGAGTCGGTGGTAGAACGTCCAAATGTTAAGATCTATTGGAATTAGGCTCACTCCACGACCAGACAACTCACTGCTAGGAAGCCGAACATCACTCTATTTGATGTGGTTCCCAAGGAGATCTTTGTGATCGAATTCTCCAGCCCATCAGAGAGGAATATCTCCCGCAAGGAGGAGGAAAAGAGATCGAAATACCAAGATCTATTGTTCGAGCTTCGAGGTCACATCCCGGCTACCGTGTGCACCTTGTCGTCCTGATAGTGGGATGTCTTGGCAGCATGAAGGACACGCTAATTACAGAGCTGGAGAAGATACCAGTCTACAGATCTAAAGCTTACTCTTTGGCCTGCTGCATGCCGAAGGCCGTCCTTTTGGGCTCCATGCAGCTCCTCCGCATCCACGGCCTGAGTATCACAGCTGAGCCACCTATCGCCACCTAGTGGGACGTGGCCAGTTCCATCCCGTGTGCCCGTTACCTTCATATGAAGGGCCACACTAAAGCCCCGCGGGGAGGGTGTGGTCAGGATGAAAGAGGGTAACCGGTACATTCCACATATCACACCATGTATTGAACAATAATGAATAAAATAATAAAACCCGCCCACATAGGGGGAGTATACCTCCATCGGGAATAAGTTCCCATGGCTACAATGGTGCCAGTCCCACCCAGACCAATCTAGGCGATGGGGGAATGAACCCCGCTCCCAAACCGAAACCTGACAGAGATTGTCTAAGCCAGTGGTCGGCAACCTACGGCCCGCGGGCCGGATGCGGCTCGCGAAGAGATTTCATCCGGCCCGCCATGACCTTGGTCGGGATGCGCTAAATTTTTCTTAAATCAATCCATGAAATCAGGACAAATTTATCTCTTCCTCACAGCAGCCTCGTTTATCGTTGAAAAGGAGAGCATATAGTTTCAGTGTTCTGTGCTCATATTGCCTGCTGTTAACCTGCGATTGTCTGATAATCGAGCCATTATGAACCGTCGCCAGCGAGTGAGGTGGCTCGTTTGCAAACGCAGAGGACTTGGTTCGGACTTTGGCCTCGAGAAACGCTAATCCTTCTTGTTGTACCTGCACGCGCGCCCTCTGTACGGACTGTCCTTTGTTTTGTGTTGATGGAACGAGAGGGTGGGACGTGCTGCACTTTTCTTGGGTTTCGGAGGCTGGTGCATTGGTGGAAGGTTTCAATTTCTGTTTTATTGTGAACCCTGCCCTTCCACCATGTCGCTGTCAAAATCAGCAAAAAAAAAGTTAAAAGTTGGCTTCGAGTGTCGGGTGTTCAGCGACCAGCGGACACACGATTACCTGCTTGTGTAGTGCTAAGATTAGCCAGTTTGTCTTGTCCGTAAGGAGAGCGTTTCGGTGTCCAAGGAATATAGCAGTTGGCGGCATTAAGAAGCACATCATTAAGGCAAGTATGACTCTCTGAAAGACCAGAGCAGGACTGACAAGACAGAGGCTCTGAAAAAGGCCTTGTTTGCTCAGTGGAATATTTTCAAGATTAGAGTGCAGGAAAACCTGGCTCCAGTTCGAGCTAGTTATCGTCATTACATTTTTAGCAGAGGCACAGAGTTCGCACTGAAAGACCACCATGTCGAGATGTTGGCATCAAATTAAAAAAAATTGCCTGTATTACGGTTGAGAAATGTGAGAATCACACATTGTGGTAGCATCAGGTTTACGAACAGCAATATTATATCTGATTCTATGATTAAAGTGCGTGTATTGCACACATTATTCAGTTCAAATAAACATGAATGCAAAAATGTTAATTTGGAAACCTCTGGGAGCACTGAAACCCCCCGCATCTGCACCCCTCAGCACTACTTCACTGTAATCGCTCTGCGGCCCGCGACCAGACTGTACTATTGCCAATCCGGTCCGCCACTACCAAAAGATTGCCGACCACTGGTCTAAGCTATGGGACGTTAGCCTGCAGTGAAAGGGCGAGGCTGAAGGAAGCTAAAAGAGGAAGGACAGCGAAGAAACTTTCCGAGAAATTGTCATGCAGCCTGCGTTCTCAGGGGGTTGAGGCTGCAAGCTTAGCACGACACCCTATCCAGACCGTTTCTGCCGTTAGGCGCTGAAGCTATGAACTTAAAAGAGTGGAAGGTAGTACCCAGATTTTCAGAGGCTTACACCCGGCTTAAGTCCACCTGCCAGCACCACTGTTAGCTATCAATTGGCTTGACCAGCCTTGCGACCGAAATTCATGACGAGACTGGTCCCTAAGGGAAGCAACCCAGCATGGCTTCAAATGACTCAGACCTATGCCATGAAAAGTAAATTATTTATTTGCAGCAGGCCTTGTTACCTTATTTATTGAACACCCCTCGTAATACACTTTGGTGGGTAATCTCCCCCTGAATGTGCTATATAGCAAATTTTATGGGAAAGTCCACCCGCAATGATTCTATGGAGTGTTCGCGAATTCAGCCCTTGTTTTCCTCATCCTGTTGAGGATGGGAATGAGAAAATGACGGACTGAGTACACTGACTCTCTACCATTGTGTCAATGAAACAACTTCAAATTTAACGATTTAGCAAAAGCTATAAAGGAGAAAGACAAACGTACTAGGTCCTCTGGTGGTGGCAGTTGTCCATGGTGTCCAAGGACCCTTTCCAATGAAATTCGCAGCCCGGACGGAGAACACATATTCCGTGCTATAGTTCAGGTGCTGGACTGTGTAATACTGCTCAGTGATGCCAGAAATCTCAAAGACACCGCTTTCGTGCGTAACTATGTACAAGGTCCATTTCAATAGTCAGGTTTCTGTCATCTGTGTCAACTGTTACTAAGTTACAGTTATTCATATCATAGCAAAATACCGCATAGTCATGTCCCAAGAAATGGTCATTCCACATATGCGCCGCCGAGCTCAACACGCTTATGCCAGCGGTGCACCAGGCCATCAAACACGCTACTGACACCTGCAATCTCCAGGCGTCGGAGATAGATTTTCGTGGCCACCATGAGGGCCTCCTTGTCGTCAAAGCGGATGTCCCTTAGTGACTTCTTCATCTTCGGGAAGAGGTAGAAGTCACACCGGGCCAGATCCGGCGAGTAAGGCTTAGCACGTCGCAGTCCCAACCGGTCAAGCAGCTCCACACTCATCGAATCTGGATCTGTGTGACTTCTACCTCTTCCCAAGGATGAAGAAGTCACTTAGGGCAACCGCTTTGACGACGAGGAAGTCAACAACGGTGGCCACAAAAACTTATATCCAAAGCTTAGAGATTGCAGGTGTCAGCGGCGCGTTCGAGAACCTGGTGCACCGCTAGCAGAAATGTGTTGAGCTCGGCGGCGTAAATGTGGCATGAACATTTCTTGGGACATGTTTGTGCGGTATTTTGTTTCGATACATCAATAAATGTATTGTATACGGATGAGGGAAACTTACGATGGAATTTGACCTCGTATTCTTTGACAGCGTGATTTGGTTCGAAGGATGGGGACATGGAAGAGGACGTCGGGTAGGACCAATCGAGTCTCAACGAGGATGCTGTCACCTCACTCACCTCCAAGTTCACTGGAGCAAGGGGCAAGTCCTGGACTCTGATGATCATCGTGCGCTCGATCCGACCACGCTCCTTGCTCTCTGCTGCACACGTGTAATTTGCCGAATTTCTAATGTTGCTCAATGCAAGGATATTCTCGTCACTTGGCGAAACAGACTTTCCGGGAGATCTCCATTGGAAATTCGTCCATGTCACGGAAGCATTTGAGGATTCCACTGGCACACACGTCAAATTTAAGTCCCCACCTTCTTTCACGACATATGATTCCTCAAACTCGCTCGAGAACGGCAAGCGCACAGTCACCGGCTCTATCACGAAAGTAGACAAAAGCAAATATTACCCATAGGAAAGCCATATTTTTAAGGCTTCAATGTTAACTTCGCAAATTCTCGGTCGTCGAAGGGCAGGGAATCAAAATGGAAATACCCTGTGCCTGACAACTGGTTCTGCTGCATGATCTCGAGATGTGCAAGCAACAATGCATACTTTCCTTGCTATTGCCAAATATTGTCAGTATTGTTTCTTGTGGCCACTGGCAATTTGCATAAGTATAGAGATTCCATTAAAGGAAAGGCGCTGAGAGGGTGAATAAGGGGAGGGGAAGATCATCAATATAAGACAAGTCTACAGCTGCAAAGACAACTTAACCGTAATGAAAACAAATTCTTTCGCGTTCTTACTTGATGTACGGCTGCCGCTGCAAGGTTATCACGCCTTCAATGTTTTTATCCTTTTTTTGGGCAAATTCCAGCTGTTTCGGAAACGTTCCTATATTGCTGTGTGAGCAGGTGTATATTGGTATCAATGGGCTAGATTGGACTAAGATGGTTGGACTATATTTTCACATTTATTAGTAATTTAGGGAACAAAACTGATTAAATAATTGATAAGGAATGAAGTGATATACGAAAGTCTGTTGCAACCTGAAGATCACGAACCATGATTCGATTCTTTAAATTTGCTATGAAGTAATGTGAAAACCAATTTTCAAGGGCTTCCCCTTTTTCCCTCCGCCTCTCTACGGGACTCACTAACGTTAGGCCTAGGTCTAACCAACAGACTGCCTTCAAGTCACGCCAAGGCTTACCTTTTTCTTTTCAAAAGAAATTCAATTTTCGACTTACGGCGCCAATTAGGCCTATAAGGGTGATCGTGATCTTCCAGACATCTGCCATTCATCCAATGACCGAGGGGTATGATTTTCGCTAAGCAGGGGCTGACAAGGTTATACGACATGTAAAGCTTTTGACTTTTGAAGAACAACCGATGGGATCAAAGGAGAAACGGAGGGCCACAACTGTTCCAGGGGGTCATCGTGATCAGAACAATTATGTTGTTCCTGGTTTAGGACAAGGAAAGATGAATATATCGTACCTAAGTAAGTAGACACCATATGCCATAAAGGAAGTTAATATGAAAAGGAGTCAAGGTAATTTGTTCTGAGCCATGTGACCTAAGGGGCTGTTCCTGTCCCCTCCCCCATAACTCCTCGGCTTCCTTCTCCCGATGGGGGGAATGCTTTTCGTGTAGAAATAACTGGAAATTTGCTTTCATCCCTTTCTCTGGCAGAGGGGAATTTAAATCTCCAACATCCTCTTCGTGGCGTTCATGTTGAAGACGCCAACGCCAGTGAATGGGCAAATCCACCATGTACATAAGAGGCTATGTCCGTCTGTGTGTTATTCCGGGAAACTCATCCTAGGCGGATGAAAGGATTTTAGTTGAGTTGTCAATAGCAAGCTTAGGACCTGGAGACGATACTTATACGGTCAAAAGTCCAAAAAGTCTGCTGCTGACATATTCGCTATGCGACCTGTCTGTCTGCACGTAGGAGGCCTGCACATGTTGACCTTTCCGAGTCGAAACTCGATCGGCCCGAATGGAATCGTGGCCCTCACACGACCCGACTCTATCAGACTCTATCGCCTAAGGAGCATTGCTGATCCGAGCAGTGAACCTTTTTGGGCTTATCTGGCTGGCCCGCAGTCCGCAGAGGCATTTAAGTTTGGGAACTCGAGGTATCTGATAAAGAATTTACCCCCAGCGGTGTCGGAGAGACCCCTAGCATATATGAGCAGAAACGAATATTCGGGTGAAACGGCTCGGAAAAATGGGCATGCTGTGCAAGATGACAGATTGGTGAAGATTGCTTGTGGCACGGAAAACCGTGTAATACAATAATATCGCGAAATCTGAAACTATGAAAAATCATATACAATTGTAATTACCATATACAATTTATGAAGCTCTAAGGGATGTGTTGTGTGAATTCCATGTCCAGGCATCTCTCATCCATATAGAGTCCACGTCAAATCAACTCAGTACAAAGTATGACTTCCTCTGGTTTTAGTGCAAATTGGACCAATGTCATTTGGAAGATAAGATACCCGAAAAACTTTCATATTCATTCTGTTAGATATGAAGAGATAGGGTTATGAAAAAATGCATATATCATGACCAAGTGGCACCTCTGTCCTTCGATATAGAGGCAACATCTTTTCTAGTCCGGCTAGGGAGATGGTTTATAGCTCTTTTTAAAGGTATGTTCCTGCTCTTTCCGATGGCAATAAAAACTCACATGGCACATACAGTGTGAAAATCATTGCCATGGGGAAACTTCATTTCCTGCGCATTCATCAAATTAGAAACAGGTTCATTAGTTCAATAGGTCTAATATTTGTTATCAATTTAAATTCAATGTTCCTTAAAAGTTGATAACTCACCGACTCTTCCCGAAACATTGTCCGAGATAAAGAACTTAGATATGATGATCAGAATTCCGTTATAAACTTCAGCAGGTCCTGCAAGGGGATGTACTGATTTAATTTAATCTGTGCCGAATGTGTTAACTAACCGAAAATATTAATTCGCTTTCCTGCGAATAATAGTCTAAATCTCGAAAAATTATTATCATCCCAATATGAATTTTGGCACAAATGTTTCAGATTGTCAGCGAAATATGTGAGACTAATTTAATGGAAGTCCCAGTGGAAGTAGCTTTGTAAATGAGGTCCAAATTAAGTTAATCTATTTTGTAACCTGTACTTGCGGAAATGTCATTCCTGGAAACTCCTCCTAGAGGAATGAACTGGTTTCTTCAGTAAAATGTCATTTGAAAGCTTACGATATAGACGCGATGCTCATTAGGCTGAAAGTCCAACATGTCGTACTATTTTGATGTTATGAAGCTACATTTCGGTGATGAGATGAATGAACACTTCGCCTGGGAAGGCGAAGTGTTCATACATCATGGCCCGGAATTTGATTACCGAACGGGACTGTCTAAAGTCCGCTTTGGCCTCTAATCATCAGAACTCAAGGTTTCTCAGGAAGTTTTCGCTCGCACCCGACCGAAAACTTGATTGCAAATCGACCTACATACCCGATGCACTGGTCAAATGGATAGTATCGAGTCGATCCGCATCCCGACAATGCTCAAAGACATCCCCTATTGTACACGGGCGTTCGAAATTAGGACAGAAGGAGCTGAAACCTTGCACATAGGCGAATGGAGTTTCTCTAATGACGGAACGGACCAACAATTTATTATTGATTGAAATCATGTCAGTTTGAAATGTCAAAATGTGTGTCCCTTTAGGATGCTATGAGGCAAAACTAACTGGAAAATGTTACATGAGGGAAATAATGATCGACGGTAACAATCTGATTCCTGGGGGTTCCGAATTCCTCCGGTGCGTCTCAGCGCTTTGAATCCTATCGAAGGCTCATGACCTGAAGGCAACACTTATTCTATGAAATGTCCAAAAAGCCTTACCGTCTTGACGTTACAGGGCGAAGTGCCACAGTTCTGTGAAAACGTTACATTATACTGAATGCCATCCCGGACCAATTGCACATAATTAACAATGAGAGTAGTAGTCATTGTCGGCTACGGACGTTGCTCTGTGGTAACGGTTGGAAATGATCTTAATTTCATAATTTGTTCGTGTTACCGGTTCCGTCAACGGTTTGCAACAGTGCTTCGCGTAAGTCTGTGCCATGCAATTTTTGGAATATTCTGTTTTGAATATTCTCTGCTATGGTCGCGCCTTCGGCGGTCCACTACCTTGGATGGTGATTAATTCATCTATTCTTTGCGAAATGTCAAACACGTATTTAAAGTACGTCCCCATTGAAATACGTGACATATGGGGACGAAACTCTTGATTTTTATCAACATCATTACTTCTAAGATTTCTAGTGTCCTTAACTTGAAATCTTTTCATGTGTCCTTATTTGTAAGGGTGGAGAATGCAATTTGAAATACTTCCCTCCTATAATCTACGCTAAGGGGACATACTTTAAAAGTAGGGTTCTTCCTGTACTCAGCCATCAAAATGGTACTTCTGAGGGAATTAAAAATGTTTCTGTCTCTGTTAAGTTGGCTCAAAAAAATTCAGGAAAATGGGACTTAAAAAAGATGTGCCCTGATGGGTTTCAACGAAATATTACTTTCCTTTTGAAATGTCGTCTAAAGGAATTGCATGCCCCCCAGTTTCAGTCTTATACCTTTCACTTTTTGATGAAGATGAAAAAAACGTATATTGAAAAGCGACCCACACAAAAGCTATGCTCTGAGGAAACGCAAAAAAAGTTAAATATTTCCTTAAATCATCATCACGTCCGTTATGCGTGCGCCAGCTGCAACTGCTTTTTTTCTATTTCTTACCGATTCGCTAGGATATGCAAAATTATTTGAAAACGTTATGTCCCCAAGAAATATGATCCCCAATAATATTTGGGAAATTTGACGTTTGACATTTGAGCTCAGTGCGTCAGCAGTCACGTTCTTTCCAAGTTTCAGCTTGCCATGTGTCACCGTTTGATTGAAGCAAAGAAAATTATTTGAAAATATGTTCCGCGAAAAGGTGTGCCGCAATGGCATGCATCACGAAAGTAGAATTTTTCCTGAGCTCAGCATGCGAATAGATACTTATGTCAGTCAATCAGCTACTCATGATCGTCGATATATAATAAAAGTGGGATTTTTTCGTTACTCAGCTATCCTTTAGGTACTTCTTTGCCAAGTTTAAACTTTCTAGCGCCCTCTGTTTTGCTGGATGAGAAAATTCCGGAAAATACGCCTTTTGCAAAATACGTGCCCTGAGCCGTTTTAACCGAAAAGTACCT